GGTGTAAGAGATGAGAAGGCATGTCTTCCCAACAGCTCCATCTCCAACTGTCACACATTTGATGAACTTTGAAGTTGATGCTGCTGCTGCTGCTCCTGTTGTTGTTCTAGTATTAGCATTAGCCATATGGCTTGGCTACACATGTACACACAAGTAATGAAGCAATTAAAACCTCTCTCTCTCTCTTGATGTTTTTCTTGGAACCCAATTGTCTCAGTGTTTCTCTCTCATTATGTGATGGTGGTTGTACAAAATTTGTTGAAGCTTTTTGAGGGGAAGGGAAAAGAAGGTGATTATTGAGATCACTTTAATTTGAGCTGTCATGGAGGCAAAAGGAGGTAAAGGAAAGGCAAACCCACAATGGAAATGAATCGTAGTCATAATCAAACACGAAAATCGTAACACAATAAAAAAATTTAAGATCTTTTTTTTTTTTTTTACAGAAATGGTGACACAATCAAATAGGGCACTTTAGACTTTAGAGTGCATGTGGGTGTTTATTTGCCTTCTACTTGGCTACTACTGCTTTAACAATTTACTAGGGGGTTAATGACGAAACGAAGATGGGGTTAATGACGCAATTGGCCTATGGTCAAATGGACATTTGGGATTTCATAAGTTCATAACAACCTGATTCTAGCTCGTCTCGCAAGATAGTACCTTTTGTTTTGTTTTGGTTTTACTAAAACTAGGTACAAAAGCATTTTATTCAACATATTCAAGCATATTCCCAAAAACCATGAGTAGTTATTATGGCATTGATAACAATTTTTTTTTTTTAATACAAGCGATATTCTAATTTAAACTAATCTAAACTATAAGAAGCGTGATTTGAACTCGGATGCAGAGTGGGGAGCCCATCCATTCTAGCCAACTACTTGGCTAAGTCCATGTCTGCATTCTATGATAACATTAGATGATGATTTAAGTTCGAATCTGGGTCATGTGGTCAAAACATAAAAAGGACAATTATTTGTACCACATTTACTGACCACATTGTTGATCACCTCTCTAATATAAATGGGTCACATAATAAATATGGTAGAAATAATGTTATTGATTTAGCTTCAATAGTCATTTCGTGTTAGAGCTTTTATATTACCAAAAAAATAAAAATTGTCCTCATTACATTGAGAGGTGGCAAGGAAATTCTCCACTTTACTTCTGAGCTAGTCAACTTAGGTGAGTAATTGATAAATCACGGCATGATTTTAGTTCCCCTTCAAAGAATTTATTATTTATATACACTGCCAAAGGTCCCAATCCATTTGAACTTGTGGTTGCGTCCATTCCAAGAATGGCCCCATATTTGCACCTTAACGCTATATCTGTCTGGAAAGAGGAAGAAGACAGAAGAACTTGAAATAAGAGCAAATAAAGACTCTGCTACCATCATTATATATACATCTGTCTTTATAGATTTTTTAATTAATTAAAGTTATATTTGTAAGATTTATTATTAACTCTTTTTATGTGTGCCATAATTAGAAAAGAGGAGGGAGAAAATTCACACACACGGGTATCATGGGAGTTTGAACTCAGGACCACTTGGGAGCACACCAAAGGCCTGTGTCAATCCAACTAACACTCCATTGGTGATTTCTATACTCTTTTCAGTCCCCTTTTTTCAATCTATCCTCCCAAACACAAGGATGAATTGTGGAGACTTGTAAGTCTAGTGTTAGGTTAAGTGTCTCGAGATGGTATATGACCTCTAGACACTATTTCTTTCATACCGGTTTTGTAAGGACAAGTTCTATCCATGAGCTCATACCAAATAGTTTTTCTTTTCCTTTGGAGAGACAAATGTGAGAATAGATAATAAGAGATGAGAGAGCGTCTCAAAAAAAAAAAAAAAAAAAATAAAGGAGAGAGGGTAAGGCGGATTGTCGGATTAAAAATAATTGTTATTTAGCTTCTTTTTTTTTTGGTATAAAAATGATGGGATTGTTTTGTTATGAAATAGATAATTAATTCATTACACTTCATCTTGTCTTGGAGAAATTATTGGATGGAATTGAACTTCAAAATTCAAATTAACTTCAAATTTGGGCAACAAAGATTGTAATCTTGTAGATCAAGTCTCCTGATTGTTTGGCCCAAAGGCAACATGGGTAAAAGCCTTTGTCTTGGGCCCTCTTTTGCCCAAAAACAATTCTCCCCAGTAAAGCCTGTTTTCTAATTTTAGACCAATTTTTGCAGTTCTTTTTTAGATAAGATAGGTATACCCTACAAATAAAAGACCAAAGAATAACCTACGTACTATCACTAATCTTCACTTTTTTTTTTTCCTTCAATATTTGTTATTCTCATTGTTCTGCGGGAGCATTTTTGCTCACCATTTTAACTAAAGGTGTATGCTCACCACCACTTTTAAAGCTTGACATATGTCCAAATAGTTAACCTTAGTTAACTTTTTGTTGAAAATTAAAAATTAAAAATTAAAAGAGCCCAAAGGCTAGCACACATCCCCGATTATCTCCCCCTTTTTTCTCCTTCCCTTTTTTATATATAATTTCTTTCCTCCTCCAGCCCCGACTCCTCTCTTCTCCCTTTTCTCTCTCCTCTTCCCCCACTCTCTCCTGCTCTCACTCTTCGCCTGAATATTTCCATTCGGATTTCCAGAATCCGCATTTAATTTTTTCTTCTACATCATCAACTGTATTGCAACTTACATTTTTCTTTTTCTTTTCTTGTAATCATATTTAATTTTTCAGTTTAATAATTAATTACTATTAGTATCGTGGAACGAAATTGGAGACTCCATTATTATAGTGAAGCTTCTGTATTTTGTCTCCAGTTTGAAATCCATATGCATACATAATACATATTTAGTTTATTTATGTTGGTTCCTAATAAAAACAAGAAAATGGGAAGATTGTGTTTTTTTTAATGAACTAATTTGCATTTAAATTTTATTGATCAATCTAATCATACTAAGATCACAAAAAGCTTAACCTCAATAAGATCGACCATGCAAGACCCTGTAATCAAAATTTAAACTGAGGGAGAGAGAGATACAGAGTGAGAGGGAGAGAGAAGGGTTGGGGGAGGGGAGGAAATAAATTTTTTATTTTTTTTTAAAAAAGGGAAGAGAATCGGGCTATGGGCTCTTTTTCAATTTTTTTTTTTAATTTTCATATAAAAGTTAACTAAGGTTAACTATAGGACATGTGTCAAGCTTCAATAGTGGTGGTGAGCATACACTCTTAGTTAAAGTAGTGAGCAAAAAAGACTCGTTTTTGCTTAATTAGATTTAGGACACTACACATAAGTTTTAATGTAGAAAAATATTAGAGATGTGCAAGTGAAAGAAAAAAAGACTTAGCCTTTGGGTATCATATATATTTCCTACTTTTTTTTTTTTGCTAAATCTTTTTTTTTGGTTTAGCAAACATAAAATGATAAACTAGAATCTTTTTTGAAAGAAAAAGATCAATTAAATTAATTAATATTCTATTGTGGGAATTAGGCCGTAATCTTCTAGGCTTATTATTGCTCATTGTCTCATTATTACACAGATTCACAATCTTTTATTTATATATTATTTTTTAGAACCACAATCTTTTAATTGTTTTAATTTTGGTTTTTTTTTTCTTGTCAAACATATTAAGATACGTAACGGAAAAAAAAATTATTAATACAAGCGCTTGAAAGTTAAGTTACCTATACACTCAAAACTAAAATTAATATGCCCTAATAATAATCGTAAGAATTTTTGGTTAATTACAAGGTAGAAATTAATTAAATACAACTAGTTCCATAATTCAAATTCAAAATAATAATTTTCCTTTTGGTATAATATAAGAATCTTTTAGGCTGATTTTTTGGTATATAATTTCACAAATTAAGATCACACATGCACGTAGACTGATCGTCATGAAAAGATCATCCTCATCATCAATCTTATATAAATTACAAAATTTTAGGACTTAATTCCCCAAAAAAATAAAAATAAAATTGAGAAATTGATTAGCTGCAAAGTCAAACAAAATTATAATATATATATACACACACAAAGAAACTCTCCAAAATGAACTTAAAAGTTATTTTTAACCTTTCTCTTTGATCTTTGATCTCCAGATATTGTCACCATGGTGATCTTGAGAAAACTTCCCAAGAGGACCCAAGGCCGCAAGAGAATCGAGATCAAGAAGCTCGAGAATCTCAACAACAAGCAAGTCACCTTCTCCAAGCGCCGTTCTGGAATATTCAAAAAGGCGGCGGAGCTGAGCGTTTTGTGCGGCGCTGAGGTGGGAGTCATTGTTTTCTCCACCGCGGGCAAAGTGTTCTGCTACGGGCACCCGAATGTGGAGACAGTGCTAGAGTGCTACCGTAGTGGGGTTGCTCCTTCTGCCGTGTCTGATGACACCGCAGGAGACCAAAACCCTAATAGAGTGCCCATGGCGGAGTTCAACAAGGAGTACATGGAGGCAATTAAAGAGTTGGAGGAGCAGAAGAGGAGGGTTGTGGAGGTGAAAGAGGCGGTGAGGATGAAGAAGATGGTGATGGGGGTGGTGGGTGGGTGTGGTGAGAGGTTTTGGTGGGAGGATGAGAGTGTTGATTTGGATGTGTTAGATGTGCAGGAAGTTGAGCATTACTTGATGTCATTGGAGGATGTGAGGAAGAAGGTGGCTGCTAGGCTTCATGAGGTGAGAATTCTGAATGGGACATTGGCACCGGGGGCGCTGCCGCCCGTACCGGCAGTTCATCGGCTTTGTCACATGCCGATGATGACTAATGGTTTTGGTGCTCAGGGTGGCCAATTTGGTGGTGGATATCACGGGTTTGGGGTTTAGTTTAGAGAGCCTTCAAGTATTTTGTATTTGTAATTGTATTTTTGTTTTAAATTTTTTTGCTGATCATGTGTTATGCTTATGCAATAAAATAGTTGGGTACCTTCTTGTGATGTGGCAATGTCTTGTGCTATATCAATACAAATTGTTGGATACATTTTTCTTAGAGCATTTCGCCATGGTAACTCTGCAAAAAACGAAGCAAAATGTAGTCGGAAACAAGTTTCTTTGTATAGAATTTGACAATATATTCATGATTGTGGTGGCCATGGCCAACCTGTCCGATCAAAATTATGGCCCATATCATTAAGGTTATCTCCAGTAATAAGGCTAAATGTAATTTATGGCTAAAAATTTAGTTCTCCAAAATATTAATTTTTTAAAGAATAGTGCATGGCTAAATTTTTCCATCTCCAAGGCTATTTTAGGGTCCATATTTTATTATTTTGAGAAAAACTATGATACAATACTCATAAATTCTACAACTATATATTGTTTAATTTAATTATAATTTTTTTAAAACAACACTTGAAAACATTTAAAAGGTGACCACATGTAAATTTAAAAAAAAGAAAAGAAAAATGATGGGTTTCAATGGTCTGACCTCCAACGGTCATGACCAATAATTTTTTTATAATTTTTTCTTAATTACATGAATTGACATTTAAAAAAGTTACCACATTTATAAAATAAATAATAAAAAAAAGAAGATTAGTTTTCAATGGTCTGACCTGCAACGGTCATGACCAATACTTTTTTATTCTTAAACAACATGAATTGAAAACATTTAAAAGCACATACAGCTCATAAAAATTTAGCCTAGGCCAAAGCTGGGCTACATGTGACCCGGTTGGAGAGCTAAAGGGCCAAATGTGGCCCTCCAAATTTGGCTAAAATTTTGTTTAGCCCATGGCTAGAGATAGGTTTTGCAATATTTTAGGACTATATTTGAGATATAGCCTATGGATAAAGATGGCCTAATAACCCTAACTTGTTTTTCATGCCAACCGATGAGTTGGAATGAATATTTCACTTAAAATTAATTGATAGGGAATGAAAAAGCTTAAATCTTTGTGAGATCGCTTAACTTTGCATTCAAGGGTACTCAGAATTTGAATTTCTTCTCACCCAACATCGTTTAATAAGCAGGACTGAACCACTACAAAAAGTCTCCTACAAAATAAAGTCTCATTTATTATGCTGGGCGGATTGGTTCGAACAAAAGGTTCATACTGAAATAATAGAAAATATGAAGGGCTTGACTGACGCAATTGAACTATAAGAGGGGTAAACTGCAATTAATCTTATTTTCAAAGATAGACCGGGAGAGAGGGAGAGTAGGAGAAGCAAGCAATGGCATCGAAAGCGTCAACACCGCCGTATCCAAGCGCTGCTAGAATCTCTGATTCTCAGTGTTATCCTCAGTACACTGCGTCTCTAAAATGTAAGCTCCTTACAACCCTAATTTCATTTCTTCTTCTTCTTTCGCTTTTATAATTACTCAATAACTCCATCTTAGCCCTTTTATCCAATTGGAAAAGCATCGACTTACTTTCACATTTAACTTTTTTGATAATTTTTCTTGATGAGCCCCCAAGAACCATTGGATATCTTCGCTTTTAAGCTTTTTTTTTTTAAATTTTAAAAAAAAAATTAATTGGCACTGATTTGCGGCGCTAATTTTGTGAATTTATGCTTAATTTTGAGTTTTGAGGCTTTAATTTGTATTTGTATCGGCTTTGTGAGTTGGGTTTTTGAAAATTTGTAGTGTTTGTTTCAAAATTTGTTTTGTTTGTGGTGGTAATCTGGTTTTAGTTTGCAATCACATAATTAAAGCTACATTGTGGAGTTTAGAGGTTACTTTTGGTGGAAATTGGATAGAGTTTCTGATGAAGAGGTGGCTGTGTCATTGCTCTTAGAACTATAGAGACTTAATCAACTCGAAAGTGCAACGATACCCATGATTAGTTTCGGAAATAAACCATTGAGGATGTTCCATAAAGCCTACCCCAGTTTTCAAAGGCGTGCTTTAACCACTGTTTTAATTGACAGGTTCCTTAGTGCCTTCACTTTACTTGATCCCATGTTGTAGTTGCTTTGACGTGTCCAGGCAGTCAGGTAGTGGTCTAGTACTGAAGCATTAGGCTTGGAAAATCTCACCTTTGTGGAGAAAAGACTTGTATTTGGTGTTGCTTGCCTGGGTTGTTAGTGGAACCTTAGCTGATACGCAGAAGACAACTAATTAGCTGATTTTCGTGGGTTACCTCGTAGCTGAAAATAAGAGCTATTATTAAGTTTGTTCATCATACCAGCTGAAACAATGTCTCAAACACAAAGCCTTTTTTCCCTAATACCTTTTTTTTTTTTTTTTTTTTTCATGGAAGCCTCAAATAGGATTCATCACAATATAACGAGCACCACATCTCACAACTATATCTTTGGGTGATTTAGCATTCTAGGAACAACTCTTTTTTGGCCAGGCATTTCTAAGACCAACTTAATTACATATTTACAACAGAATTTGTCATCCACATGGTATAGACATCGATAACTACTTAATCATCTTTTGTCGAACACCATAATTGATTAAATACTTTTGGATTAGGACACTTTTCCTCTTTAAGCCTCCCTTACTGCCCATGTACATTTTTATCCTCTTTAAGTTATCCATCCTCTCTGGTGTGTGACATTTTTGACTGCCATGTAATGGATTTCTTTTTCTTGGTTACTTTTGATTTTTCCTTGTATTTTGCTCGAGTGTGATCATAAATTGGACATGAGCATGTGATTTCTAGCTCCATTATCCGATGGCAATACTGAAGGGTATACGTTGCTTATAAATATAGCAAGTTCCTATTTTAGTATCAGATAATGATGAAGAGAGCTATACTTTTTACTTCTTAGTTGTTCTTTGCACGCACGCACGTGCACATATTGTTTGATAGAAAATGTGCTGGAAAGATACTGTTGAGGACTGGAACAAGTTTGATAATTGTATTGTTTCATGAATTTTACTTCTTAGCTACTCACTCCTAAAAGTTAATCTCCAGTAAAATTTTGCCAGATATTGATTCCTTTTGTAAACTTTTTCAGGTCTAGAAGAATATAATTCGGACAAGAGTAAATGTCAGGAACATTTTGATATTTACAAAGAATGCAAGAAAAAGGAGGTATTGGTGCTTTCAATCACTTAATTGCTCTGTATTGTTATTGTACTTTATTGATAGTAATGAAAGACTGGACATCCCATTTGAACGCATGAACTTTTAATAAATTGGTGGTTTCCATTATCACTGTGAGATCCTTCCCAATAAGAAATATATTAATTGGTTAGTTATATAGTTTCAAGAGTTGTGTGGAAACCTTCATCTGCTTACACAATGAAGTCCCAGGGGTAGTCGAAAAATTACAGCTGTATAATTATTGTTTGTTGCATGGATTGAGTACAAAGTCTTTCCGTGGCATCTCATTTCCAAGGTTCATCTACATACTTCACCAATAGTCAGAGGATAAAAGACATCATCTGTTTGCATTTGTCCTCATGTACACTGCTTGTTTACTTATATGGTTTACGTTTTTGTATCAACAGCGGGAAGCTCGATTGGAGCGCAACAAGACTAGGTCCCTTTTCTCTTGAAATTTCTTTTGGAATCTTCCCCTCGTATCATAAGGCGCAAAAGTGAGTTTTCAGCTCATCAGGGCTGGCGTTAGATTTATAGAGTGCTATACTTGATACCGAAACAATTGATAGAACTGGCTCAATTGTTTATGCCGGCGAAGTTCAGAATTTTCTTCGCATATTGTGCCATCAGTGAAAGAATGATGACTGTTTTGGATTGTCAACAAACAATGTTAGACTTTGTTTCCATTCCAAGTCTGAAATGTTGATGATATGTTGTGTAGCATTTGTATATTTTCCAGGATCTCATCTTCATTGCAAATTTACAAGAAAAGAAATGAAAAACAGCCTGAACATTTGAGCCAAATATAATCTGATTGGTGAATTTGCATGCATATTCTTTCACCTACTCAATCTACGTTATTTTGAGTAGCTGACCTGTGTATGTGGAGCATGTTCTCTGTTGTACTTATGCTGCCATACTGTAAACCTGGACACACATTTGGCAATAATCGAGCTAATCAATCTCGATGGTTTATATTCACAGTATGGTAATATAAGGCATTTTAGGAGGCTGGCAAGAAAACATTTTTATATATATACGCACACAGCTATATATAGGGTAATGTTGTCTTGCTGGACGCATGTATTGTTACTGGATATTTGATATTTGAGTCATCCAGATATATTTAAGTGATTAATACAAACCTTAATAATTATGGGAGAGAGACATCTGCCCCTTCTTTTTCTTCTTTTGTTTCATAGAAATCTGTTCCTTCGCTTCTTTAACCATGGAAATCATTTTGGGAATGCTTAGATCATCTACCCAGAAAAGAAAAAGAAAAAAAAAGAAGCTTGGATAGATAATGATCTAGTCATGAAAAAGCATAAATTGAAGAATGTTCTTCCCTTTTCTCTTCTTGTTTTGTTAAGTGGAAATCGGTTCCTCTGCATCTATGAAACATTGTTTCCTGCAATTCTATGAAACATTATTTGCAGATAGAGAACAAATTTAACATAGGAACCCCAAAGCTTCTGAAACTTCACAACATTACACTTTCCTGACATGGAGAATAACACCATGCCCAGGTTCAGTAACCAAACTAAAAAGAGGGGCGTGCTGGTACGCTGGTGAGAGGGAGAAGCAGAACTTTGATAGAACTGAAGCAAGAAGCACCTTAAGTTCTGTCATAACTAGATGTTGGCCAACACAGATACGAGGACCTGTTCCGAATGGCATGTAAGCCTGCGGAGACCGGCAAGCCTGAAAAGTTCCATTGGCAAATCTTTCCGGGTTGAACTCATGCGCATCTGGCCCCCATATGTCAGGGTTGTGCTGTAAAAAGGGGATTGGTATTTGAAGGATCACACCCTTTGGAATCACAATGTTCTTGAGTGTGACAGTTTCAAAGGCCTCTCTAGTTACAAAGAATGCAGGCGGGTAAAGACGCAACACCTCCTGAATCACCATTTTCAGCTGCAGACAATTGTAAGGTGGCAATCAAATCCCTTGTGTCCATAAAATTTATAGCATTAATTTGAGGCCATTTGATCAATTCTTCATTTGTTCATGCTATGCATTTTGTCTTAATTAGTATACAAGTTTGTATTGTTATCTTTATAAATTATAAGAGATAATTTCTTATGTGACATACCACTTTCATGCTTCGAAGCATATCTCCATCTAGAGGTTTATCCCCGCAGATTTCGAGCACCTCAGCACGAGCACGAGCTTGCCAATCTGGATGTGCAGCTAGTAACATCAAGCTCCATGATGCTGCAATGGCAGTGGTCTCATGGCCAGCAAAGAATATAGTCTTGCAGTTATCGACAATGAACTTCTTCTGCGATAGGCCTTTGGAGTCCCCAGCACCGGCAAGAAGCATTTGGAATAAATCTTCCTCACCTGAAGCTTCAATACGTTGTTTTACCAGCTTTAAAATCATTGACTCAGCTTCCTTCTCTAATCTCCATGTTTCTCTATTGTCTTTTGTAGGCAGCAATCTGTCACCATGGTGCAAGAGCAGACATTCATATCAGACGTATGTATGTATGCTAAGGTTACAAATTTTAGATATCAATTTATTTGACGGACATAATTTGAAGTGAAACCACTTATGAGCACAAAAATTATACTCACACTAATTGGTATCCAAAATCTTAGAAATAAAATGCCATGAAGATCTTTTTTTAATATCATACCTCAAACCAGGAAGCGACATGATTCCTTTTGTCAAAACTTTTTGCAGAGCCCTAAGTTTATTGAAGATTTCTTCTACTTGATCATATCTGTTATTAAAACAAGCTCTTGAAATTATATCTGCAGCTAAGTTTCTCAAATACTTATCAACTTTAATTTCTGCAATTCCTCCCTTGCTGTCGATTTCATCTTCCCATCTTCTTAGCATTGAGGTTGTAGAGTCCACTATTAGGTCCACCATGCCCTTTGAAAAGAGTTGAACAAATGATTTATAAATGAATTGAAAGCATAGAGAGTTAGTGTCTTCATGCTCTATTTTATTAGAACATGAGCATCCAAACCAAAACTAATTAATTGAGAGTGGAGATGTCCGAAATCATTTAAGATGTTATACAAAGCTTTAATTTCTGGACGCGGGATTCGCACTATTTAGCTCATTGGAATTATTTTCAAAACAGGTTAATGTACAATCTGTCTAAGATATTATCTTGTTGAACCATCAATATATGGTGCACATTCAACTAAGAATTTACCTAATGAAGTACAAAACATACCTTAACCTTATCAAGATAGAGCTCGGGAGCAATAATTCCCCTTTGATGGGCCCAAATTAAGCCATTCGATGATAAAAGGCCTTCGCCCAATAGTGGTCCAACAACCTTGGAAGTTAAGGAAGCCTTCCCTAAGTTTAGAGACTTGCATAGACCAATTTCCTTCACCACCTCTACATCTGTGATGCATAATTGTTGTAGGTGTGCACTTGCATACATAAATATTTGCCCTGCAACCAATACCTACTAAATCAAAATGTTTGACCCCCAAAAAATAAAATAAAAAGGTAATTGGGAGCTCAAATTGAATTTGTTTTTAATACGAAGGATATGAATGAAGCATACATGTTACTGAATTCATTGGTTTGGTTTGGTTATTCTACTAATTTGAGCATGAATCGAACTAATCGGAATTGTGATATTACACTAATTCGGTGAGTGGTTCGAGAGACAAATCAAACTGGACCACACCTAGCCCTGAGCAATCCAACTAATTTTGTTATATGTGCAAGAGAGTGAACCTACCATATTCATTTCGCCACTGCTCTATGTAGGGGAAGATTTTTGAATGCCATTCATGATCAATAGAAGCTACATCACCATCATGATGGAGTTTTGTTGGATCAGCAGTCTTTGTTGCTGTTGAATGGCCCTTGCTTTGCAGCCTCTTTATTGCAGACAGGTTCCCTAAGAGAAACGAAGGAGGAGGCCCTCTAATTCCTTGCTTCTCAAGCTTTGATCTTAGCCCTCTAGGCCTCAATAACACAAGTTCACAGAGGTATAAAAACAAGACCAAAAACCCACCCAACAATACTGACACTACGACCTTTGCTGCTACTGCTGCCTCAGCTTCCATTTTTATACTAATTCGTCTGCTTCTCTTGCTTTCTGTCTATTCTTTTTTAGTATCCAATTTATAGCAAAAACTCACAACTATGTGACTATTATTGAATTTTTTGCGAAATCATTGGAGTGTAGCATCAAAGTCGGTCTTTTGTTTCTTATGGTTCCATGGACCATGTCAACTCTTAAGCATACATCACTGCAAATAAGCAAAAGACAATAGGAATGACAACCGAAGAGACAACAACCAAAGAGGATTAACCCTCTCACCTACTCTAGGAATGAAAGAGTTTAACTCTCACAGCCCAAATCCCAAGTACAATAGAGCCAAGACAAAATATCAGATTCTTGCTCACAAATAGAAAGAACCAAACAAGAGAAATTACAAGAAAATCCTCTGTGTTTCTCCTCTCTCTGGTGCGACAACAAAGAGAGCAGCAGTTCTCAGCACTATGGTGCACACGGCACCTCCAAATGGTGAGGCACAATGCCGACTACCAAATTGATGCCCTCTCTCTCACTTTTATTGCTCTAGGTGCACACCGCACCACAAGTGGTGTTCATCCACATCAGCTCCACTACTAGGTTTTGTCCCACCGTGTAGTCAAAAGCCAAAAGAAAGAGCCATAAAGAATGGCTGGTATTCAAAGCTTTCCCACATTATTTGTGGCACCACTTCCCTTTGTCTCCTGCTTCATCGTCACGAACACTAAACTCCCAAGTCAAAACTTGGAGCTATGATACCACCGCAGAAGCGGATTGAACTGGATGGTGGATATTGTTTATCCGTTTTAATGTAGTTACCGTGGTGGTAGGGTAAAGTTCTCAATTGACTCGAAAACCATTGATGGTCAACAAGTCAACTTTCTTTTGCGTGCGAGCGTGCCACTGTTAACAGTTAAAAACCCTAACAAACTATGAAATGTAATAACTTGCGCCCCAGGCTATTGACTTTGATCAAGCGATTGTGAATTTGGGTGAGGAATATCTCCCAAGTAAGTTCTTTTCTTGCCTCAAAAGGGTGAGGACTTTACAATTTCCCACAATAAAACTAGTAAGTCTAGCCAAAAATGAATGTTGAAAATAAATCAAACTAGTTCAAAGAGAACTGTCTATTAGACAATTTAAAAAAAAAAAGAAAAAAAAGAATTGCCAAGTATGGAAGGATATCAGAACATTGGGCTTTGATTTCTACTTGGATTGTTGTCTGTGACTTAGGCTTGATTGGATATACTTGTGCTGAAATTGCACATCAGCACCTTCAACTAATAGGGATCAATTGGAAATCGATACCAATGTTGAGATTGGCAAAGCTTTAATCAAATTTAGCCATGGAGAGGCTTGTTGAGTGGGCTGAATTGAGATCTCTCAGGTCTGGACTGGATTGACGATTATTAGCCTAGAATTGTACTTCAGTACCTATTTTACTCGATTGTGGATCACCTGAGAGCTATTTGGTGATTCTGAGACATTAAGGTATCTCTGGAAATTTGTTGAGGTCTTCATATTATGAAAACTCTGAACTCCACTTGATTCACCTGCTCTAAACCAAATTTGTAACGAGAGAAATCTCGTTTCCTTTGTGGACTACTTCTTTGAACTGAATTGAAGTCAGAAATCTGAGTTCTGCCTATTTTGTCAAAAACTGGATGGGTTTTACAAACCAAATAACTTGATTGCTTAAGAGTTTGAAGACTTTTGGGATCGTGTGACCTTGTTTGATCTTTGTGAGTGTGACTGAGAGTTTTTGTCTTCATTGGATTTTTTGTTGTCTTTTATCCAGTTCACATCTTCCTATATTTATAAGAAATTTGTATGAGTGATTTATTCCTTAATATATGAAGGATACTTGTTGAGAGGTTTCTCTGCTCCAGCGAAAAAGGGTAGTAGTTATTCTAACAAGAAAAGCCCCCATCAAGAGTTAGTTTTCATGATGATCAGTTTTGACCTTGTGACAACCAACTCTCTTATTTCTTGTTCGTCTCTTGTAAACCAAGTTTGTACTAACGAGACCTTCAGGAGTATGGGAAGGAAACTTGGCTATCTTTTTCTGGCCAAACATATATGAAACCTATGAAACAACAACAAGATATGAAATACATAAATCCAAAAGACACAAGGATTTTTACTGGTTCGACTCGTGTGTAGCCTACGTCTAGTTCGAAGTCAGCAAGAAATTCCACTAGTATTCCAAAAGAGATTACAACCAAAGGGAATTAACCCTCTTACCTACCCTAGGAATTATGAAGTTTAACTCTCATAGCCCAAATCCCAATTACACCCAAAGTCACTCACCAAATACAATAGAGCCAAGAACAAATCTCAAATTCTTTCTCACAAATAGAAAGAACCAAACAAGAGCAATTACAAGGAAATCCTCTCTATTTCTCCTCTCCCCCGCGCGCAACAGTTCTATGTTGCAAGTCGTTTTGTATGTGATAAAGTGCACAGGGTTTTGTGTGTGTTAGTCTTTGTCTACACAAAATTATGCTGTACAATACGATTGGTTTTTTGTTCATGAGTTTCCAGGGCAAAAAATACCAACTTATCTTAATCTTTCAAACAAGATAAAAAAGAAACAAAAAAAAACAAGATAAAATCTCAAAAGAACATTTGTGCCTTGCAATTTTTCCTTAGATTTCCCCAGAACTTGTTCAAAGCAGTGTTTTCAAAGGCATGCCTTCGCACGCGTCGGCGCAAGGCGGGAAGAAAACGCCCGAGGCGTCCGGCTGTTTCGCGATCTGCACGT